CTTTAAACTCAACGAATAAGAAATTTTACCTTGGCAACTAGCTGAAAAAAGTTAAATATATGTTATTCAAGTTAAATGTTTATTTCATGTTTTGGTAACACTTCACAAAGTTGCATTATTTACTAAAAAAACCATTTCTACAGCATTTAATAATCTCATTTAATGTCAAGTTCAACATTAACTAACACTTTTTAAGGGAAAAAGTTAACTAATTAATGCACTGTGAACATGAACAACTATTAAGATTGATAAATGTTCACAGTTAGACCGTGCTGGTTAACACATGCCTATTGTAAAGCGTTACCAATGGTTTGTTTGACACGTTCAGCATCACAAACAGAAGGAAACATCCTGACACTGAGCGCCTGAGAAATGAAAGTAAATCTAGCTTTATTGCACCTGTCATTACAAGCTCAAGTTTCACTTTAAAGATTAAAGAACTCTTCACAAACATCCTTTACAACTAATGTCAGTCAGATTTCTATCAACGCATTGAATGATTAAAACATGTTTGACCGAACGAAAGAATTAGCTTGTTTTCTGGTCACTTCATGACAATAACCCGGTTTATTACCTCTTCATGTCTGTGAGTCTGTCAGCTCGTTCTTCAGGATGGGCTCGAGCTCCAGAGTTCCCTGAAAACAAGGGAAATTAGAGATTAGAGTTCAAATGAAGAAACTTTCCTGAGGAAATAAATACATAAATCACTCCTGCGTTCAGAAAGAACCCGCAGAACCAGAAGAACCGCTAGCGCTAAACACCTGAGCGTCGAGAAACCAACGCATCAGATGAAGGAGGGAGCCAGCGCGGCACTCGCCGGAAACAGCGTGACACACACTTCCTCATGACAACATGAAGGAAAACATTCTTTCAATTACACAAGATATTCAAGCTTCATTCTGTGTGCCAGCCCATAACAGCACATTACCCACGAGCCATCAGTGACCTTGGAGAGGGATGAGCGCTAGGAACAGACGTGAGATACAGCCTTCACTTCCAGATAACACGTCCAGTACAGATATAAAGAGCAGTGTGTGTGTGTGTGTGTGTGTGTTCAGACGAGAGAGAAGCCTACTGCCATTACAGTATAAATTACAGGTTTTAAAAGGGTTATCTGCAGGGTTTAGTCAAAGGAGTAGTTCACTTAGAAATAAAATTTCCTGATAATTTACTCTCCCCCGTCACCCGAGATCTATTCTGAAGTGAACTACTCCTTTAAGGCCTAAGACCTGCACAAATAAAATGAATAGGGCAATGTCTATAGAAACATTCAATTGTAAACTGTTAAGTTCTTTAAATCGTGGTTTTTACAGTCAGTTTAAACGAGTCTAATACAGGATCAACAAAAAAAACTTTATAAAATTTAAATCCTCACATTTCAGCTATTTTATAAGAGAAGTTACATCTGGGTTGGGATATCTGGAATCCAATACTTGTAATATAATTAAAACTTAGATTCCTTTCAATATGAGTGTAAACCACTGGAGCGAGAGACTGTGTGTTCTGTGCTCGTGTGTGTGTCGGTGTCCTGGACCCGCAGCTCTTAAAGTGACAGCGCTAATATTCCTGCGTCTCTATAATAACACTAATCACACAACAGGAGACGGACAACACACACTCTTCACTGAATAACTTCTGTAACTATTTATAATGTATATTTTATTCATAAACTGCAGTGTTATTTATCATTTGATTACAGTTCCTGAACCTGAAAATCTTAAAACACTGTTTATTTCAATCGCATCTTTGTTCAGTTGTGTCTATTTGCTGCTAATTTTTGATTTGTTCTTTTTTAATGACAAAGTGTTTCCTTGTGTTTAATAATGCTTGAAGTGTACATTAGTTCGGCTAGTTGTTCTTCTGAATGAACAAGTCATAGAAAGCTTTTTTAGTCCACAAATCCCCAACATTCACCATGGATTTAATGTAGTAGCGCTAACTGTAATCATGCTAGCGTGGCAGAAATAGCCATACGTTTCTACATCTCAGGGATCGTACAACCTTTCCCGAGTGACAATCGAGGACTTCAAGGACGTTCAAGAGCTTCACACTTTTTCTAGCACTTCAAAATTCTAAAAATAACATTTAAATCGGATAATATTTAATGTGATATCAAAAAAACATTTGTTCATCCTTCAGAAATTGTCCTCATTTGTAAAACTAAGTTTCCAAATGTAGGAAAGCTGACATATGAGGAAAAAACACTATTTTAAAATAAAAAGACTAATTTCCACTGAAGCGCTTACAGGTTTTCAGCCGTTTCCACTCCCTGATATATTTTCCTTCACACATTTTCTTTAGAATTTATATTTAGACATTATGAATTCAGGAAAAAAAAAATGTTGCCACTTTTTTGTACTGAAGTGTGAAGTAGGAAGACAAAAACTCTTTATTAAAACAAAGTTTTCTTCAAATTGTGACTGAATTACACAGAAAGCAAGTAAAGATCGCCTCTTTTATATTCACTAAAGCTGTTGGTCGGTTTAATACGATACTATAGAAGATCAACGGCACATTTAATACGAGTAGAATATTAAAAATTTACCATATCAAAAATTAGGTTTTCGCATGTTACTGTGGTTTATAAATGTAAATTTGTTTTGCATGTCAACTCAAGCTCAGTGCTTTACTGTCAAACGTGCATTTTCAAGAAATAAACATGTGATATTATTAGCAACTGCACTTATTAATGCAAAACAAAAGTAATTTTAGGAGTAAATCCTGTAGCTGACTAAAAGTCGATTAAAACTTGACTAAAAAACAGAACAAGGTTGACTAAATATGACGATAACTAAAATAGTATATTGGACAGGACTAAGAGTAAATTTAGAGAGTTAACACTAATGTCCACTAGGTCAGTGGTTCCCAACCTTTTTTTGTCTGAGACCCCCTTTTTCCCAAGAAAATATTTTAGGGCCCCCTTCACATTTAATGATATTATCACTCTTGTAAGCTTGCAGCAAGGATGACAAAATATGTTGTTTTCAAACAAACGGTATGTTTACTATAACCAGATATGTCTATGCACAAATAATAGCCAATAATATTGACAATACAATGACAAAAACATCAGCAGGCCCTTTGTAATTTAAAACCGTAAGCCTAGGAGAAGCCTATATATTGGCCCTATTTGAAATCCAAAAACAAAAATTCACACTGGTGTGTAGGTAAAAAAAAGAAAGAATATAGGCTATTACTAAATGACTGCTGTCTGGGGCCTCAATACTTGCAAGTTATTTGTGAGGCTTTATTTTTTACACTTTTGGCACCATAGCGAGCGATAATAAACTTGTGTTTATTAACAGAATAATGCGTCTTTCGGAAAGAACATTGTAGCCGGAACTACTTCTCTCTGTGTACGTCTATGACGAGTCACGCAGGCACTGGGCTCCTCCGCATCCGAACCAGTGTAAAACAGTCCCAATGTAAACACCTACTATAGGTGGACCATAGTGGTTCAGGATAACTCAAAAACACGGATTGAAAAATGGATTCATGATGAACTGAATGAATGATAAATTTAGTAAATTTTGAACAGAAAAAAGTTAAGCGTTCAGGAGAGCAGTGCACGTGTGAACTCAAGCGTTCAGGAGAGCAGTGCACGTGTGAACTCAAGCGTTCAGGAGAGCAGTGCACGTGTGAACTCAAGCGTTCAGGAGAGCAGTGCACGTGTGAACTCAAGCGTTCAGGAGAGCAGTGCACGTGTGAACTCAAGCTTTACTGAAATATGTGAAGAATGCGGTCCTCCCTCACCTGCAGCGTTCCCGCGGGGTCTGCCGTTCTCAGAGCTCTGCTGCGAGAGAAGAACATCACAGTCATTACACTAGAAGAGCACACACACACACACACACAAACAGGAAGCAGTGGCCGACCGACAGTGATGGCCAATGCTAGAGCAGGAGGCCCATATGAAGCTATCACAACATTTCATTTAAAGATCGTAAAAACACTTTTTTTTGGTAAATCTCAGTGCACTCGTCTGGGAATCATATTTTTCCAGTTATGAGAATACAGCGCTGATGTCACACACACAGAAATTAATAAGACCGAAAAGACCTGAAGTATATCAGCGCCTTTACAAACACAAGATCTCACAGCTGGACTCGCTTGCCAGGTTTGAGGACATAAACCTTTATTAGATAAGCAAAGACTTATTAAATAATCATAAATGCGCTAGGGCTGTGAAACGATTCATCACGATTAAACGCTTACAAAATAAAAGTTTGTGTTTACATAATATATGTGTGTGTACTGTGAATAATTATTCTGTATAGAACACACACACACGCATGTATATATTTAAGAAAAATGTGTTATTGATTTATAAAAATGTTATTTATATATAATATAAATTATATTTAAATATATATATAGTATTAGGGCTGCAGCTATCAATTCTTTTTGTAATCGATTAATCTAGCACTTAATCGATCGATTAATCGAGTAATCGGATAAAACATTTTCTGTGTTTTTAAACAACCAAAACAAACAATGCATAACGAAAATGATGTGGGTGTAAAATGATCAAGTATTTGGCATTATTAAAAAAAAAACAAAAAAAAAACTGGTATTTATTCCAACTCCAACATTTGGCTCCAAAACTAAGCCTGTTTATTGCAATTTTTACCCATTTAGTATAAGTGCCAACAATGTTCTATGCACAATTACTTTGGTAGCCGATTAAAATGTCTTCCCCAAAAGTACGAGTGGATTTGGAGAAGCCGGCTGGGGAGTTTCATTATTTGTTGTTGTCTGTAACTATTTGGAAGACGTGACATACAGACAAGGTCTCGCAAAGACTGCAATACAACATTAGTTCCTCCGTCACGTCGCGGTGTATAGCCTACAGTGAAGGCATGCTGAAATTATTGTTGCGTGGCTACATAAAAGTTTAAGCATATGTGATGCATTGCCGCAATTGATCTGGCGCGTGAGAGAGACGAGGGTGTGTGTGTGTGTGTGTGTGTGTGTGTGTGTGTGTGTGTGTGTGAAGGGGTTCTTTAGGCTATACTCTCTTGCAATTGAACGTGAATACGTTTACTACTTAAAAACATCAAAGCTAAACATCATATCTAGTCAAACCGCATCACGACATCGCTACAAATACAGTATGGGATTAAAATCAGCGAACATCAATGTATCATAGGCTTATGGTGTGTTCACACCGAACGCGAGTAGATTACATACAAAGAAGTCAATGCAAAGACGCGAATAGACGCATCATTCGCCGGGCGTCGCGACTGACGCGAATTGGGCGACGCGTTTGCCGCGAACGTGTTCCGCGCAAGTTGAAAATTTGAACTCGAGCGAGTGTTCAAGCGTCTAACTAGACGCGATAAACGCGTATTTGCCGCTCTATTCGCGTTCGGTGTGAACACACCATAAGGTTACCTTGTTTCAGCGACGCTGGTGAGAGCACGGAGTGGGTGTGTTCGGGTCAGATGCTGGATCAGTGAAGTCGTACTGCTGTGGTATGCCAGGTCTACTCTGCAGGAGACACATTGCACCTTGTTCTCTTCCTTTTTAAATATGTAATGATCCCAAACTTTAGACATTCTCTGCCGTTTATGGACATCTTTACTCTCCGCCATCGCGCCAACTAAATTCAAAATGTATCACGCGCTATAGTAGATCCGCGCGTATAGTGCGCGTCATAGGAATATAACGGGGCAGAGTTTTTGCCTCGAGGAATTTTTGTAATCGAGTTAATAGAGTAACTCGATGAATCGTTTCAGCCCTATATAGTATAAACATGCAAATATTTCTTAAATGCATGCATTAGTATTTATATATACAGAATAATTATTCACATTACACACATATATTATGTAAAAACAAACTTTTAATTTGTAAGCGTTTAATGGTTTCCCAGCCCTAAGATGCGCGTCTGCTGAACGCTGAGGTGACGGAGCTGTGTATCGGCCGAGCACTCGTGACAGAGACTCAGATGTGTTCAGGTGTTCAGAAGGGAAGCTCTCACCGCACTCTCCAGGCTGGAGGACCGAGACGCCGCTTCAGGCTGGCGAGTGGATCTCTGATGCTGAGATGAGGAATCGCCCGCATGCGCTCTGCGTCACAAACACAAGCTCTACTCAACCATGAGCACAATACACACTTAACCCTCACCCTTCCCTCACACTTTAGCCCTTTAAATTACTAGTGGATCAACAAATAATAAATAGTAATTTAAGCACATTCCTCACATTCTTTCAACTTAAATTCAAAATAACTCACAATTTCATGCATAACCCTTTTAATTCAGCTCTTAATATCTTACATCTTTGAGCTCTTGTGGAAAATAATAATAACACATGATATTTCCTGCCTCTAGATGGGCTTATAGCTCTATATGGGGAGGAGCTGTTCCGCCGGGTCCTAAAGCCAGTTTCCTCAGTGTGCATTCAGATACACATGTACACATTATACAATATTTTTTTGGTAAAGTTTGAATTAAGAATTTTTAGGTTTTTCTATGTGAACTGAAGCATTTCTCGCATTCCATTCATTCCTGATGGGTCAAATTGGAGGAGAACAGGTTGAAAAGTAAGGATTAGTTACTTTTTAAATTTCAACCACAAAACTCTTAGAATCCATTAATGTTTATTTTTGTGTGTATTCGTGGTTCAAGTGCGACAAAAGTCCTGGAGTCTTGGACCCGTCTGGTGAACACTCAAATGTAACAAACCTGGTTTTAGAAGAAATCCTTTTAGTTTCAGTCTTGTTGGTCTTCATGCCTGCGGAAACACAACAGTAATGAAGCGGTGAGAGGAGCACACACACTAATCATCATCTCTGTAAATGTGCCAGTGTGAGCCAGCTGGATCATTTTCAACTGCAGGGCTTTGGCAAGATGTTTTTGAAACCTTCAAAATAATATAAAAGTACATCACGAGGACCCCATAATCCATAAAGACAGCAATAACAGAAGAAGAATCCTCCGCACAGGACACAAGCGCTGCGCGTGTGAGTGTGTGTTACCGGCGCTCTCCTGCAGCTCGCTGTGGAAGCGCTCGCACTGCTGGTGCAGGTCTTTGAGCCCGTCGGGGTCGTGGCCGCACGCCACCTGAGCCTCGCGGTTGGCCAACACGGCCTTCTGGTGCTCGCCCAGGTAGAACAGAGCGTCACAGAAGCGGTAATGACCCTGGAGGAGACCAAAACACTGTATGAGGGAGAGTCCGACCCGAGTCTAGGGTTGGGGATCGAAAATCGAACACTTGAGGGCTGGAATCGGACACTTGTTATAAACTTTTAATTTCGATTCCTCTTATCGATTCCTTTCAATATGAGTTAAAGCGCAAGAGACTGTGTGTTCTGTGCTCGTGTGTGTGTCGGTGTCCTGGACCCGCAGCTCTTAAAGTGACAGCGCTAATATTCCTCCGTCTCTATAATAACACTAATCACACAACAGAAGACGGAGAACACACACTTTTCACTGAAGAACTTCTGTAACTATATTTGTAATGTATATTTTATGTATAAACTGCAGTGTTATTTATCATTTAATTACAGTTCCTGAACCTGAAAATCTTAAAACACTGTTTATTTCAATCGTATCTTTGTTCAGTTGTGTCTATTTGTTGCGATTGCTAATTTGTGTTTTGCTAAAGTGTTTACTCGTCTTTAATAATGCTGGAAGTGTACATTAGTTGGGCTAGTTGTTCTTCTATGGTGTGTTTAAAGCTCAGGCTAACGCTCCTGTGTAAGTGTTCTTCAGCTGATGATTTCTGCTCATGATATTCAGATGCAGTTACAGGTTCTGTAATAGACTAAATGTGAATGATATCCAAGTTGTTGTTTTTTACCACATTGGAATCGAAATTAGGAATTGATTAGAATCAGAATCAATAAGCAGAATCAATCGTTAATATTCAGACGATGCCCGATATCCCCGAGTCCCAGCAGGGCTAGATCAGCACATCAGGAACACACCACTGTACACTGTAATGTGGACTCTGCATTTACTGTAAAGCTGCTTTGAAATGTTGTGTATTGTGAATAGCGCTGTACTAATAAACGTGAATTGAATGAAACTGATGATGATGGTGATGATGAATACCTTGGCCCAGTCTGGCTGCAGAATAATGGCTCTCTTTCCATCGCCGAGTGCTTTCCTGAAAACAGCTCCACAATCAGTATCACACACACACACACTCCTCAGTAATGTGCACCGCAACAGTGGGAGTAACACTCACAGATATTTCTCAGAGCGGATCAAGCAGAGCGCCCGGTTCCCGTACAGGATGTGGTTATTAGGGCTGAAACACAGAAGAGAGATGAACAGGCGATAGACAGAGACAGAACTGGTGTGGAGTAAAGCGGTGACGAAGCTCCGACACTTACTGGTATTTAATGGCTCTAGTGTAAGACTTTAGAGCCAAGTCATATTTCTTTTTCTGGAACTGCTCATTTCCTTTGTTTTTCATATCGTCGCTTTTCTGTAATAGAGTCAAAACACCATTATCTTATTTCTGCTAATACAGCAGATCTCCAACAACACTCATGATAAACGTGTGTGTGTGTGTGTCTGCAGTCGTTACAGAAGAACACGAGCGTCTCTCACCGACAGAGTCCAGGCGTCCGGCTCGTACTTGAGCTCGGCGATGGCCTTCTTCTTACTGCACGACACCACCTGAAGATAACGCGCATCTGTGGGCGAGACGGTCTCATAAACGTGTTCTGCAGCTCGAGTCTGGACACCGACCTCATCTAATCTGGACACCGACAGTCACATGACCTCATCTAATCTGGACACCGACAGTCACATGACCTCATCTAATCTGGACACCGACAGTCACATGACCTCATCTAATCTGGTCACCGACAGTCACATGACCTCATCTAATCTGGACACCGACAGTCACATGATCACATCTAATCTGGACACCGACAGTCACATGATCACATCTAATCTGGACACCGACAGTCACATGATCACATCTTATCTGGACACCGACAGTCACATGACCTCATCTTATCTGGACACCGACAGTCACATGACCTCATCTAATCTGGTCACATGATGAGACTGTTTCATATCAGAAGTATCAGAGATGATAGTATGGCCGGAGCTGCAGAGAGTGTTTAGTGGAGGGTTAGCGCATCCGCTGAAAACAGCATCTAATAGATCAGCCTTGGGATTAAAGAATCAATATCGGTTCATCAAAATGAGAACGACTAATCGATAAATGAATCTGTTCGGCCCAGCCCTGATCTCGCACTGTGGGGTGGCTGACGGACATGAATGAAACTCACACTCGTTGAAGACGAAGCGCAGCGTGCGGTAGCGAATCTCCACTGAGCCGAGATCCAGCAGCTTCTGCCGAACACCAGGAACTCCAGAGTCCAGCAGCCACGCGATCGCCTTCGCCAGACAGTCCTCCTGCTGCACACACACACACACACACACACACACACACACACACACATTACTGACAGTCCTCCTGCTGCACACACACACACACACACACACACACACACACACACACATTACTGACAGTCCTCTTGCTGCACACACACACACACACACACACACACACATTACTGACAGTCCTCCTGCTGCACACACACACACACACACACACACATTACTGACAGTCCTCCTGCTGCACACACACACACACACACACACACACACACACACACATTACTGACAGTCCTCCTGCTGCACACACACACACACACACACACACACACATTACTGACAGTCCTCCTGCTGCACACACACACACACACATACACACACACACACACACACACATTACTGACAGTCCTCCTGCTGCGCACACACACACACACACATTACTGACAGTCCTCCTGCTGCACACACACACACATTACTGACAGTCCTCCTGCTGCACACACACACACACACACATTACTGACAGTCCTCCTGCTGCACACACACACACACACATTACTGACAGTCCTCCTGCTGCACACACACACACACACACACACACACACACATTACTGACAGTCCTCCTGCTGCACACACACACACACATTACTGACAGTCCTCCTGCTGCACACACACACACACACACACACATTACTGACAGTCCTCCTGCTGCACACACACACACACATTACTGACAGTCCTCCTGCTGCACACACACACACACATTACTGACAGTCCTCCTGCTGCACACACACACACACATTACTGACAGTCCTCCTGCTGCACACACACACACACACACACACACATTACTGACAGTCCTCCTGCTGCACACACACACACACATTACTGACAGTCCTCCTGCTGCACACACACACACACACACATTACTGACAGTCCTCCTGCTGCACACACACACACACACACACACACACACACACATTACTGACAGTCCTCCTGCTGCACACACACACACACACACACATTACTGACAGTCCTCCTGCTGCACACACACACACACATTACTGACAGACACTTTGGTTAACTTCAAACACTTAACGTAACGCGTAAACGCTAGTGCGCACAGGCCACGCAGTGCTGGCGGAATAACACATTAGCGGAGCGGAGGGAATAATATGGGATTTTTTCCAGAAAGCTTCTTGCACAAAATAAACTCAAGCCTTCCCAGGACCTGTATCTGTGATCTGATTATTTACAAAAACTTTCCAAGGCCTTGATTTTTTTTTTTTTCAGATTCTCAAACTTCCATGTATTTCCAGGCCCCGCGGGAACCCTGAGTCCAGGTGTGTTACAGGGACACTCCGGCCAGTGCACTCCCTCACGCTCATGCCCTCCCCGGAGATAGGACTTTCTCTCTTCGACACACTGAAAGATTCTCACGGCCAACCAAACACTGCTGTGCGCAGATGAGAGTCTTCAGTTGAAACGGTGTGGTGTCAGCGGCCCCTGAGTTAATCACCAATGATCTGAATCAATCAAAACTAACTTTATCTGGACAATAACTTTATTCTAGAGCTGCTGTAAAGCCTAAACACTGTTACTGTAATCTCCTGTTATCACTGTAAAGCTGCTGTGGAACATCTGTGCTGGTAAAGCGCTGGATAGATGAAGGAGACTCGGCCCGTCTCGTTAATTAAATAACCGTCTGATTGCAATTATTTGATCTAACCGTGGTTGTTTCAGGCATTTTGAGGACAATACTCCATCTCTGCGAGAGCATCTAACGGCTGTGGCTCGTGGGAAACCACACGCAGCGATCCTGATCCGTACGACTGAAGACATCGGTGCGTGTGAGAAAAGCTATTTAATTAACACTTTGAAGGCCCAGAAAGGTAGGAAAGACATTGTTAAAATAGTCCATGTGACTACAGTGGTTCAACCTAAATTTTATGAAGCGACGAGAATACTTTTTGTGCACCAAAAAAAACGAGCCACCGGATTTACTCAGAAATCTCTTCATTGTGTCCCGAAGAGGAACGGAGGTCTCACGGGTCTGGAACGGCACGAGGAGAAGTGAACACTGGCAGAGTAAAGGCTTACGGCAGCGTACCAAGGAGAAGAGTCTGCTCAGCGACACCACGGCTCGGGCTTTCCTCTCCATGTCCCTGTGAGACAGCTGAGCAAAACAAGACATGTGATCAGAACCGGGTCAGCAGGGGCGGCGAGCGCGAGCTGCGTCAGGACTGATACGTACGCCTTGCTCCATCGCCTCCAGGATACTCTCCAAGATCTCGATCTTCTCCAGCCTCTTCAGACTCAGATCATTCGACACACTGGAGGATAAAACAGCGCAATGAAGCGTCTCGCGGTCAACCAAACACTGATGTGCAGATGAACGGCCAGAACACATTAAAGTCTTTGTGTAAGCTAATAACTAATGATCTGAATCAATCAAAACTAACTTTAGCTGGACTATAACTTTATTCTAGAGCTGCTGTAAAGCCTTAACACTCTCTGTTACTGTAATCTCCTGTTATCACTGTAAAGCTGCTGTGGAACATCAATGCTGGTAAAGCGCTGTATAGATGAAGGAGACTCGACGGTCACGTCTGAATCAGATCTCTCTGAAGCGACTCACTTGGAGTCCAGGAAGCCCATCTCGACGGCCCAGAAGGTGGTGGGGTGGTTCTCCTGCTGTCGGAGGAGAATATGCCACCAGAACACGGACACGTGCATCAGGTGACCCACCAGCCTCTTCACCTCCGGCTTTATCTTCACCCACCGCTCATATATGACGTCTAGAACACAGCAACACTGAAACATCTGCCAAGCGGCTCATTAATCACACACACCGTGAGTCACACACACACACACTCACCAGGCGGCTCCATGTGAATGAACGGGAACTGGTTCTGATAGATCTGAGAGAAACCAGAGTGAATCATGGGTGTGTTCAGTACAGTGAGTCACTGAATCGTTTGATCTGAATCATGACTCTATTGTCTTTACAGCAGAATTTGAACTTCTCAAAGTTTGCATCATTGATTCTGTTTAATAAATAAAGCTGACTTGACGTGTGAATTCTACTCACAATCTTGGTTTTGTGACGCACAACATCTACTCCCTCCTCCTCCAGATCCGAGTCCTCAATGTCTGACATTCTGGTTCAAAAACATGAGAGTCATCTTCATTACCGATTATTCATGCCGTGTATTACGTTTAATCCCTTATCGTGTGTGTGTGTGTGTGTGTGTGTGTGTGTGTGTGTGTGTGTGTGTGTGTGTGTGTGTGTGTGTGTGTGTGTGTGTTGTTTCCTATGCCCCCGTCTTTCTCGAGAGGATAAAATAATTTAATTGTGGTAAAGTACAGATGACAAAGATCGTGAATGTTGAATTCGGGAGGTTACCCATACTGCACCTCACCTGCGCACTAACGACAGGTCACAAACACCTCAAAGAGTCACAAACACCTCAATGATACACAGATATTTGTGGTATAAACCGTGATATTTGGTGTCTAACACGTTGATTCCGAGTGATGAACATCTGAGGGAGTTTTTCCTTCAACAGTTACTCGCGAAACGCGCCAAAACTCGACGTGATTCTCACAGATTTTGAATTTAATAACGCATAATAACCTGCACGAGTATCAATATATTTAATGGTTTATTTGATTCTGAAGCAGAGGAACTTTATCAGGAAGTTAAACGCGACGTGTCTTCGCCGCGACACTAAAGGCGTTTATCTGAATCAACAGCAAAAACGTCAGTTTTCTGAGGTCAGTTCTAACAGCGCATCATCAGAAATATGATTTACAGTGTTTATTACTAACCTCTGTTAATGCGAGAGGAACTGAAGAGCTGCTGATGTTTCCTGATGTCTGAGTCTCTGTCGATGATGATCTCACGCGTGAACACAAGCAGCGCGAACATGAGCGAATACCGGACAGCGCCTCTAGTGCTCGCCCGAGGAATACCGCAGGTGTGTGTGTGTGTGTGTGTGTGTGTGTGTGTGTGTGTGTGTGTGTGTGTCTGTGTGTGTGTGTGTGTGTGTGTGTGTGAGAGAGAGAGGGAGAGAGAGAGGGAGAGAGAGTGTGTGTGTGTGTGTGTGTGTGTGTGTGTGTGTGTGTGTGTGTGTGTGTGTGTGTGTGTGTGTGTGTGTGTGTGTGTGTGTGTGTGAGAGAGAGGGAGAGAGAGAGGGAGGGAGAGAGAGTGTGTGTGTGTGTGTGTGTGTGTGTGTGAGAGAGAGAGAGAGAGAGAGAGAGAGAGAGAGGGAGAGAGAGTGTGTGTGTGTGTGTGTGTGTGTGTGTGTGTGTGTGTGTGTGTGTGTGTGTGTGTGTGTGTGTGTGTGTGTGTGTGTGTGTGTGTGTGTGTGTGTGTGAGAGAGAGAGGGAGAGAGAGTGTGTGTGTGTGTGTGTGTGTGTGTGTGTGTGTGTGTGTGTGTGTGTGTGTGTGTGTGTGTGTGTGTGAGAGAGAGGGAGAGAGAGAGGGAGAGAGAGTGTGTGTGTGTGTGTGTGTGTGAGAGAGAGAGAGAGAGAGAGAGAGAGAGAGAGGGAGAGAGAGTGTGTGTGTGTGTGTGTGTGTGTGTGTGTGTGTGTGTGTGTGTGTGTGTGTGTGTGTGTGAGAGAGAGAGAGAGGGAGAGTGGGAGAGTGTGTGTGTGTGTGTGTGTGTGTGTGTGTGTGTGTGTGTGTGTGTGTGTGTGTGTGTGTGTGTGTGTGTGTGTGTGTGTGTGTGTGTGTGAGAGAGAGAGGGAGAGTGGGAGAGTGGGTGTGTGTGTGTGTGTGTGAGAGAGAGGGAGAGTGGGAGAGTGGGTGTGTGTGTGTGTGTGTGAGAGAGAGAGAGAGAGAGATTCACACTCACTCACAGCCTAAGACCTACACACATGTATATAATGTTCAATATTGTTTGTTTTTGTTTTTTTATATACATTTTTTCTAAATCCTTTTTATTTTATTTATTAATCTTTGTTTATTTTATTATTATTGTTTTATGATATCAGTATTATTATTTTTGTGTACTAAATGTTCTAAATCATTTTCTATGTTGTTTTGATGCTTTGGCAATACAAAATGTATTTTTTTGTCATGCCAATAAAGCTTTCTGAATTGAGAGAGAGGGAGGGAGAGAGTGTGTGTGTGTGTGTATGTGAATATGAATTGGAAGAATATCTCCAGAGTGTGAGAGACATAAAGCAGAGACGGATCCTGAGCAAGTACAGGCTGAGTGTGTGTGTGTGTGTGTGTGATCCTGAGCAAGTACAGGCTGAGTGAACACAGTCTAGCCATCGAGACCGGCAGACACAGAAAGAGCTGGTTACCCCGAGAGCAAAGGGTGTGTGTGTGTGTGTGTGAGTGTGTGTGTGTGCAGACACAGAAAGAGCTGGTTACCCCGAGAGCAAAGGGTGTGTGTTCAGTGTAGGACAGGAGAGGTCGAGACAGAGACACACTTCCTCCTTCACTGTCACAGATACAGCTCAGTCAGAGACCTCTACTTCAATAAACTTAATAACTTAATACAGGGCTTTACAGCCATGACTGAAGTAGAACAGATCAAGATCTTACTAGGAGAGGGACAGACCGCAACACTGGCTGCCAGATACGTGTGTGTGTGCCACAGCCTGAGAGACAGCAGGTGAATGTGTGTGTGTGTGTGAGACTGACCTCAGTGTGTTTCCCTAATGTCCACCACAGTGACCCTCAGTAATGTGTGTGTGTGTGTATATATATGTTAAAACACTGTGGTATCAAATGTTCACAGAAATTATAACCTGTTACATTGTTAATTTGTGCAATTAATTTAATTTGTACATTTGAATTTAAGTTGTTATAATACTTGATTATTCTTTATGTATTTATTATTATACTATGTGTTACAAGCTTTGGCAATATTGTAATATGTACAGTCATGCCAATAAAGCAATTTGAATTGAATTGAATTGAATTGTGTGTATGTGTGTGAGAGAGAGAGAGAGAGAGAGAGAGAGAGAGAGAGAGAGAGAGAGAGAGAGAGAGAGAGAGAGAGAGAGAGAGAGAGAGAGAGAGAGAGAGAGAGAGAGAGAGAGGCACTATTGTATTGTGTACAGTCATGCCAATAAAGCAATTTGAATTGAATTGAATTGAATTGTGTGTATGTGTGTGTGAGAGAGAGAGAGAGAGAGAGAGAGAGAGAGAGAGAGAGAGAGAGAGAGAGAGGCACTATTGTAATATGTACAGTCATGCCAATAAAGCAATTTGAATTGAATTGAATTGAATTGTGTGTATGTGTGTGTGAGAGAGAGAGAGAGAGAGAGAGAGAGAGAGAGAGAGAGAGAGAGAGAGAGAGAGAGAGAGAGAGAGAGAGAGAGGCACTATTGTATTGTGTACAGTCATGCCAATAAAGCAATTTTGAATTGAATTGAATTGAATTGAGAGAGAGAGAGAGAGAGAGAGAGCAACACAGACTTTCCCAACATCAAAAATAATCATCTCCACCATCCTACCCAGAACCGATTTCCACCCCCGCACTATACAGAGAGTCAACACAGACATCTCACGCGGATGTGCTGGAATGCCAAATGTTCATCTGGCACATCACCCTACACTGGACATTCACAATCTCCATGACCACGTCCACCTGCGTAGAGACAGTGTGAATGTGTTTGCTAAAAATCTTAAAGATGTTGCCCTTGGCCGAACCCCTGGCGGTCCCTCAAAGAGTCAGAGAGAATCTAACAACCCTCAACCAACGAGACGCTTCATCCCAGCATCAGCACACAGCGTCTTCCCGCCGCATCCATCTGAGCCCTGGAGACTCCATCGCCCTGGCCCGCTGTACCCACACCCTGAACCCCAACGCCCACGCTCCCGGCCTCCACACCCACATCCCATCCACCAACATCACCGTCAGCATCAGCAACGCCAAGACCTGATGCCCCCATACCAGCGGAAGAAACCGGCAGGACCCAGAGAAGCCCCGGCGATGGGTAACAACACCTCGACAGCGCAGACGTCATCAGCCCCACAGCCAGACGTCCACAGACCCAAGCCGGAGCAGCGGAGCTACGCTGAAGCCCTAAGAGGCCCGGACGACCCCCACAGCTCCAGTCTGAGAGAGATCAAGGACATGCTCAACCTAATCTGCACACGGCTGATGGACCAGTCGTGAGTAAAAGACACCAAATTGAACAGATACACTAATATATGTGTATATATATGTGTATCTATGTCTATGTGTGTATATATACACATTTATACGTATGTGCAAAAAAAAAAAAAAACACGTTTAAATACTACCAATATTACAAATAGGTAAATGTGTGTATGTTTACACAGTGCACATAGATTTTAAACGGGGTTCAAGTTGAGTTGGTTCTATTCTAGAGAAATGTTAAAATTGTTTATTGACCGCATGAAACCACTGACAATCACACATTGGAACATCCAAGGCATTAACTCATCAAGTTTTGGATGTAAAATCAAAACCTTGGATTTTAAGAAAAGTGTATTAGATATAGACATAATAATATTACAGGAAACGTGGCGCAGAACTGATGAGGTCACTCTCTGTCCCCCAGGCTACCGGGAAATACTCATATCGTCCCAAAAACATGAAAAAATTACACGTGGGAGAGATTCAGGGGGCATCATAATCTGGCACAAACTTGAAATTGATAAGTACATCAAACTAATCAAAAAAGAAGAATCTCATATCTGGCTCAAAATCAATAAACAGCTCAGTCAAACTACAAAAGATATATTCTTATGTGCTCTTTATATTCCTCCCTCTGAATCTCCTTACTATAATGAGAACATCTTTGAGACCCTCCACAGTCAAATCAACCACTTCCAGGCCCAGGGAAGTGTGCTGATGTGTGGGGATCTCAATGCCAGAACAGGATCCCTACCCGACCACACCACAGACAACGGGAATAATTATATATTTGGACAGAGCTTTCAACAAAACAGTATAAATCTTTCAAGGACTAACTCTGATGCTCAAGTGAATAAAAACGGGAGGCTTCTACTTGAGCTCTGTCGAAGCCTCGGTCTGTACCTCGTCAACGGCAGGGTGAGAGGGGACTCTCTGGGGAGATACACCTACAGCTCATCTCATGGGTGCTCAACGGTTGACTACATGATCACAGATCTAGATATATTCTCTTTCAGAGCATTCACGGTCAAACCACTAACACCCTTATCAGATCACAGCCAAATTACTGTGTATCTGAAAAGGAAAGAAAATACTAACATACACCCAATACAACCCAGTAAGCTGTACAACATCAAAAATATTTACAGATGGGTTCAAAACAGCACTGAAAAATACCTGGCCGCATTGGACCACCCCCAAGTGTGCTTACTTACGGATAACTTCATAGAATACGATTATCCTCAAAATGAAGATGGCGTAAATCTGGCTGTAGAAAACATAAACTACATATTTGATTATCTAGCAACAATATCTAATCTTAAAACCACTAAGAAAAATCATAAGCAAAAACAAAAGAATGAAAAATGGTTTGATTCGGATTGTAAAAGAATAAAGAAAAATTTAAGACATCTTGCAAATCAAAAACACAGACAACCAGACGATCCAGATTTACGTCTTCATTATTGTGAGGAGCTTAAAAAATATAAAAATACACTCAGAAAGAAGAAAGAACAGTACATCCAAAATCAGCTCAAAACTATTGAAGAATCTGTCTATTCAAACAGTTTCTGGGACAACTGGAATCTCCTGAATAAAAAGAAACATGAACAAATTACTATACAAGATGGAGACACCTGGAAAACTCACTTTGAACAACTTTATAGCAAATTAGACATGAATATAAAACAAACACAAATATATGAAAAATTAAACCATTTAGAAAACATAATTGGCATATACCAAAACCCGCTAGATTACCCAATCACAGAAAAAGAGCTGATGGATAAAATTCAGGCTCTGCCAACAAAAAAGGCAAGAGGACCAGACGGCATCCTTAACGAAATGCTTAAAAATATAAACCCCAAATTCAAATTAGCCTTAATGAAACTGTTCAACTCGGTTCTGAGTGTTGGTCATTTACCTGACAGCTGGAATAGAGGACTCATAACACCCATATTCAAGAGTGGAGACAAATCAGACCCCAACAATTACAGAGGCATCTGTGTGAGCAGTAATCTGGGGAAGATGTTCTGCAGCATCATCAACACCAGACTCGTCCACTTCCTCACAGAGCACAGTGTCCTGAGCAAAAGCCAGATCGGCTTCTTACCAAATTTTAGAACATCAGATCATATCTTCACCCTACATACCCTGATCGATAAATACATCAACCAAAACAAAACCAAAATATTCGCTTGCTTTGTAGATTTCCAGAAGGCCTTTGATTCGATTTGGCATGAAGGCCTTCTTTCTAAACTTCTAGAATCAGGTATCGGGGGCAAAACGTACAAAATTATAAAAACAATGTACTCAAACAATCAATGTGGAATTAAAATCGGCAATAAACAAACTGAGTTCTTCACTCAAGGGCGGGGTGTGAGACAGGGCTGCCCACTGTCACCGACCCTCTTCAATATTTACATTAATGAACTGGCGAAACTCGTAGAAGAGTCGGCAGCTCCTGGCCTCACACTACACGACTCCAGTGTAAAGCTCCTGCTGTACGCAGATGATCTGGTCCTGCTGTCTCCAACAGAAGAGGCTCTACAGCAGAACCTGGACACCCTGCAGCAGTTCTGTCAGACCTGGGCCCTGACCATTAACCCAACGAAAACTAAAGTACTAACGTTTCAGAAAAGACCCAGATGTCAGGGAAAGAGACACAATTTCACCCTTGGTATGACCAAAATTGATCATGTCACCAGCTACACATACCTCGGGCTGAACATAAGTGCAACTGGAAACCTAAATTTGGCCGTGAATGAACTGAAAGAGAAAGCAAGAAGGGCCTTCTATGCCATCAAAAAATCCATCCAAATTGAAATACCAATCAGAATCTGGCTCAAAATATTCCAATCAGTCATAGAACCAATTGCATTATATGGCAGTGAAGTTTGGGGTCCTCTCCTAAATCATGAATTCGACAAATGGGACAAAAATCCGATTGAAACCCTGCATGCCGAGTTCTGTAAGAGTATCCTGGGAGTGCAGAGGAACACACCGAACAACGCATGCAGGGCAGAATTAGGCCAATACCCTCTACTAATACACGTTCAGAAACGAGCCATCAAATTTTGGAAACATCTAAAGATGAGCGACCCCAACTCTTATCATTTTAAAGCCCTTAAAAACCATGAAATGAACACTGAGAAGAGCGCCCTCCTTCAGCTGGTCCTGAGGCTCCACACACACACTAACACCACTAACAGTGATCCGCCTCAGGACACACACACCCTCAGCCACACAATCCGGCCCAACCACATGATCAAAGCACAACAGGAGAATTACCTGACCTATTGGACTCAATCAACAGAAAAACAAAGCAAACTAGAATGTTATTTGGCCCTAAATAGAGAATACACCACGGCAGAATACCTGAGTACAGTGAAAGACTGTACACTAAGAAGAAGGATGACGAGGTACAGACTGAGCAATCACACTCTGACTGTAGAGACGGGCCGACACCGACAGAACTGGCGGCCCAGAGAGAGCCGCGTCTGCCCGTACTGTGACCAGGGAGAAGTGGAGACCGAGCAACACTTCCTCACCCGCTGCCCCAACTATGAGGACATTAGAGGGACTTTCTATACAAAATTTGAGATACTTTGCCCTAACTTCCTACAATTAGACAACAAAACACAATTTCAACACCTATTAGGAGAAAAAACAGATTGTATCATATTAGCAGCCAGATACATTGATGCTTGTCACAAAAAGAGAGAGTCGACGACTAATCAGTGATGCGCCCACACACACACACACACACACACACACACACACACACTCAAACACTTACACACTGAATTCTAAATTGTTCAGAGAATTTTTGAAATGTTCATAAACTGTTCTAATTATCATTATTATTATTTATGTATTTATTTTTATTTGGTACACTGTTAATTTGTACAATCAATTTAATTTGTACATTTAGATTTAAGTCATATTATAATATTTTATTATTTTGATGTCTTTATGTATTCCAAGCTTTGGCAATATTGTATTGTGTACAGTCATGCCAATAAAGCAATTTTGAATTGAATTGAATTGAATTGAATTGAATTGAATTGAGAGAGAGAGAGAGAGAGAGAGAGAGAGTGTGTGTGTGTGTGAGAGAGAGAGAGAGAGAGAGAGAGTGTGTGTGTGTGAGAGAGAGAGAGAGAGAGAGAGAGAGAGAGTGTGTGTGTGTGAGAGAGAGAGAGAGAGAGAGAGAGAGAGAGAGAGAGAGAGAGAGAGAGAGAGAGAGAGAGAGAGAGAGTGTGTGTGTGTGTGTGTGTGTGTGTGTGTGTCTCCAGTCCGCACGGGGGCAGCACTGCACACACCGCGCTCCTCATAGACTAACCCGCACCAGAGAGAGAGAGAAGCGATATTTATGTATTATTTATGATCTGATGATTTCCACACCGTCGTCAGACCGATCGAAGCTCTTCCGTCGCCGAAGCCGAAGCTGTTGATGTAGGAGATGGAGAACTCTCCCTCCCCGCTCCCCGAGAGAGCGATCTACGGGTTCGTGCTGTTCCTGGGCTCTCACTGCGGGTTCTGTACGTCTCTGCTAACGTTACATCTACACTCGGCACTCGATAAACATGTTTACATCTGTCCGTCAGGTCGCTTTTCTCCAATACATGTTTATGATATGCATTTATTAACATTTTTCATTATTACTTGTCAAGAGCCAGTTGACCTTTGTTCTTTATTTTTGACTCATTAGTTTGATGCTCATAAGTCGCTTTGGAAAAAAAATCAAATGAAGAAAGTGTTGAAACCAGTGAGAATTTTGTCAATAATAATCAAAAATACTTACCTGTAGTGAGACTATATTAATAGATTGAGCATTACACACTGTAACACCAATGACATGTTTCAATAAACTTTATGATCCAAACATCTTATAATAACTGGGAAAGCCACTTCTTACTCGCAACTTTGATCACGGAAGTAGTTTTAATAAGGGGTTTACATTAAAACACTAATGAAAAAAATCACAGTATAAGCATTATCAATTTCTTGACTATTTGAAGTATTTTTCATGATTAATAAATTAAATGACCTTTTTTTCTATTGCGCTGTTGTTGTGTGTTTGCTCCAGTTAGTGGTGTGATATCAGGTGTGTTGTGTGTTTGCTCCTCTTAGTGCTGTATGTGGTGTGGGCTTCTGTTCCTGACGACTGGCTTCATTCTGCCGGATTGACCTACTGGCCTCAGAAGTGAGTGACACTCTTGTGTTGTGTGTAGATCTCACCGTGGACGAGAGTAATGTGTTCACCTGTCCACAGATACTGGGCTCTGGCGGCTCCCATTTACATGCTGGTCACTTTAACCACCTGCTTCGTGCTGCTGTTCGGGGTGAATATGATGAACACGGCTCCACTCGCATCAGTGGACAACATCACAGGTGACCATCACATTCACAACATCACAGGTGAACATCACATTCACAACATCACAGGTGAACATCACAGGTGAACGTCACATTCACAACATCACAGGTGAACATCACAGGTGACCATCACATTCACAACATCACAGGTGAACATCACAGGTGACCATCACATTCACAACATCACAGGTGAACATCACAGGTGAACGTCACATTCACAACATCACAGGTGAACATCACATTCACAACATCACAATCACAACATCACAGGTGAACGTCACATTCACAACATCACAATCACAACATCACAGGTGACCATCACATTCACAACATCACAATCACAACATCACAGGTGACCATCACATTCACAACATCACATTCACAACATCACAGGTGAACGTCACATTCACAACATCACAATCACAACATCACAGGTGAACGTCACATTCACAACATCACAATCACAACATCACAGGTGAACGTCACATTCACAACATCACAATCACAACATTACAGGTGAACATCACATTCTCAACATCACAATCACAACATCACATTCACAACATCACAATCACAACATTACAGGTGAACATCACATTCTCAACATCACAATCACAACATCACAGGTGAACATCACATTCACAACATCACAATCACATCACAGGTGAACATCACATTCACAACATCACAATAACAACATCACAGGTGAACATCCCAGGTGAACATCACAATCACAACATTACAGGTGAACATCACATTCACAACATCACAGGTGAACATCACAACATTACAGGTGAACATCACAATCACAACATCACAGGTGAACATCACATTCACAACATCACAGGTGAACATCACAACATCACAATCACAACATCACAGGTGAACATCACATTCACAACATCACAGGTGAACATCACATTCACAACATCACAATCACAACATCATAGGTGAACATCACAATCACAACATCACAATCACAACATCACAGGTGAACATCACATTCACAACAGAACATCACATTCACAACATCATAATCACAACATCACAGGTGAACATCACAATCACAACATCACATTCACAAGATCACATTCACAACATCACAGGTGAACATCACATTCACAACATCACAGGTGAACATCACATTCACAACATCACAGGTGAACATCACATTCACAACATCACAGGTGAACATCACATTCACAACATCACATTCACAACATCACAGGTGAACATCACATTCACAACATCACAGGTGAACATCACATTCACAACATCACAATCACAACATCACAGGTGATCATCACATTCACAACATCATAATCACAACAACACAGGTGAACATCACAATCACAACATCACAGGTGAACATCACATTCACAACATCACAATCACAACATCACAGGTGAACATCACATTCACAACATCACAGGTGAACATCACATTCACAACATCACAGGTGAACATCACAATCACAACATCACAGGTGAACATCACATTCACAACATCACTGGTGAACATCACATTCACAACATCACAGGTGAACATCCCAGGTGAACATCACAACATTACAGGTGAACATCACATTCACAACATCACAATCACAACATCACAGGTGAACATCACAACATTACAGGTGAACATCACAATCACAACATCACAGGTGAACATCACATTCACAACATCAAAGGTGAACATCACATTCACAACATCACAGGTGAACATCAATCACAACATCACAATCACAACATCACAGGTGAACATCACATTCACAACATCACAATCACAACATCACAGGTGAACATCACAATCACAACATCACAGGTGAACATCACAATCACAACATCACAATCACAACATCACAGGTGAACATCACATTCACAACATCACAGGTGAACATCACATTCACAACATCACAGGTGAACATCACATTCACAACATCACATTCGCAACATCACAGGTGAACATCACATTCACATCACAGGTGAACATCACAATCACAACATCACAGGTGAACATCACATTCACAACATCACAGGTGAACATCACATTCACAACATCATAATCACAACAACACAGGTGAACATCACAATCACAACATCACAGGTGAACATCACATTCACAACATCACAATCACAACATCACAGGTGAACATCACATTCACAACATCACAGGTGAACATCACATTCACAACATCACAGGTGAACATCACATTCACAACATCACAATCACAACATCACAGGTGAACATCACATTCACAACAACACAGGTGAACATCACAATCACAACATCACAGGTGAACATCACATTCACAACATCACAATCACAACATCACAGGTGAACATCACATTCACAACATCACAGGTGAACATCACATTCACAACATCACAGGTGAACATCAATCACAACATCACAATCACAACATCACAGGTGAACATCACATTCACAACATCACAGGTGAACATCACATTCACAACATCACAGGTGAACATCAATCACAACATCACAATCACAACATCACAGGTGAACATCACATTCACAACATCACAATCACAACATCACAGGTGAACATCACAATCACAACATCACAGGTGAACATCACAATCACAACATCACAATCACAACATCACAGGTGAACATCACATTCACAACATCACAGGTGAACATCACAGGTGAACATCACATTCACAACATCACAGGTGAACATCACATTCACATCACAGGTGAACATCACATTCACAACATCACAATCACAACATCACAGGTGAACATCACATTCACAACATCACAGGTGAACATCACATTCACAACATCATAATCACAACAACACAGGTGAACATCACAATCACAACATCACAGGTGAACATCACATTCACAACATCACAATCACAACATCACAGGTGAACATCACATTCACAACATCACAGGTGAACATCACATTCACAACATCACAGGTGAACATCACATTCACAACATCACAATCACAACATCACAGGTGAACATCACAATCACAACATCACGTTCACAACATCACAATCACAACATCACAGGTGAACATCACATTCACAACATCACAATCACATCACAGGTGAACATCACATTCACAACATCACAATAACAACATCACAGGTAAACATCACATTCACAACATCACAGGTGAACATCACATTCACATCACAATCACAACATCACAGGTGAACATCACATTCACAACATCACAATCACAACATCACAGGTGAACATCACAATCACAACATCACAGGTGAACATCACAATCACAACATCACAATCACAACATCACAGGTGAACATCACATTCACAACATCACAGGTGAACATCACATTCACAACATCACAGGTGAACATCACATTCACAACATCACAATCACAACATCACAGGTGAACATCACATTCACAACATCACAATCACAACATCACAGGTGAACATCACATTCACAACATCACAGGTTTTTTACACTTTCATTGCTTTCATTTCTGCATTATTCTGTGTTTTAGGTCTACATTCCAAAACATTCATGAATTACAACCATCTAAATTCAGATCTGTCCTCAAAAAGAAGAGGTGACGGTGAAGAGATTACACATCTTGCATTGATAAATGAAATGATTTCTGGTTCATTGTTTATCTAGACCGCTATGCCAAGAGTCAGCGCACAGATGAGGATCCAGCAGGAGCGATTCCCACATTTCCCAGACTCAGAGACGTTCCCATCAGCGAAATAAACCGTGTGTTTTACCTGGATCCCCGCGAGCACTGAGTGTGTGTGTGTGTGTGTGTGTGTGTGTGTGTGTGACGAATAAACCGTGTGTTTTACCTGGATCCCTGCGAGCACTGAGTGTGTGTGTGTGTGTGACGAATAAACCGTGTGTTTTACCTGGATCCCTGCGAGCACTGAGTGTGTGTGTGTGTGTGACGAATAAACCGTGTGTTTTACCTGGATCCCTGCGAGCACTGAGTGTGTGTGTGTGTGTGTGTGTGTGTGTGTGTGTGTGTGTGTGTGTGTGACGAATAAACCGTGTGTTTTACCCGGATCCCTGCGAGCACTGAGTGTGTGTGTGTGTGTGTGTGACGAATAAACCGTGTGTTTTACCTGGATCCCTGCGAGCACTGAGTGTGTGTGTGTGTGTGTGTGTGTGTGTGACGAATAAACCGTGTGTTTTACCTGGATCCCTGCGAGCACTGAGTGTGTGTGTGTGTGTGTGTGACGAATAAACCGTGTGTTTTACCTGGATCTCCGCGAGCACTGAGTGTGTGTGTGTGTGTGTGTGACGAATAAACCGTGTGTTTTACCTGGATTCCTGCGAGCACTGTGTGTGTGTGTGTGTGAGACGAATAAACTGTGTGTTCCACCTGGAACCCCGCGAGCACTGAGTGTGTGTGTGTGTGTGTGTCCCTGTCATCATGGCAGGCGTGTGGCGTTTGCTCAGGCTTTAGATGGTCAGATCCATCAGATGTGTGTGACAGGCCTGAGATGTGACTTTCAGGTGAACCTGAGCGGCCGCCGTGACCCCGCTGACCCCTGATGGACTCGTGGATATGAAGACTTTAAATAAAGCCAATAATAAGTCCATAAAACATCAGTGTGTTTCACATGTTTCTCGGATACTGATGTGATCTTTGCTGCGGTCGTGCTCGTCATGTTGTGTGGCTGTTTGGTCAGACCGTGACCTCTGTGACCCCGGGCTAGAAGTGAAGCGGTCATCATCTCTCTATCTGCCCATCATCTCCTCAATCCGTCTGCAGAAGGTGTGTGTTCCTGCTCGTCTGCACCTGAGGACCCTCATGAGCAAACACACCGGTGACCTGTGACCCTTGACCCCACCCCCGTCGCCTGCAGAAAAACTGACTTCTCTAGTTTTCCTTTTCTCATGTTTGGTTTATTAGAATATTACGGAAGCTTGTTTCTGCCACAGATAAATAATAAAAAAATACTTTTTATCTCACAATTATGACTTTCTCAAAATTACGAGTTTAGATATAAATATAGAGGATATCAAAATAAAAAAGGTCATAATAATAAAATAAAGTCAGAATTACCTTTTTTATTTAGTGGTGGAAACAAGCTTCCATAGAACTCATTAGATCCTTATTAATGTTTCTTTGCAGTATTCTGCTGTTTAGCCATCAATATTCTAAAAACCTGTTTTTAAAGTTTGTACACTGTTATAATTATTAATAAATGATGCGGATACAAATGCATATTGAGCAATTTATGTGTTTATTTGTGTTTAGATTCAGCAGAACTATAGCGCTTTATACACTGCGTTGTTTCAAAGTAGCTTCACAGTAATAATGATACCATACAATAATGATATTATGGAAATGGTAACAGTTTAAATAAGGTTAATTAGTTAACATCTTTGTTAATGTGAGTTATTAATAATCCAGCTGTTCATTGTTTGTTCATGTTAGTTCACAGTGCATTCACTAATGTTAACAAATACAACCTTTGATTTTAAGAACTTATTAGCAAATGTTGAAGTTAGTATTTACTAAGATGAATAAATGCTGTAGAAGTGTTGTTCATTCTTAGTTCATGTTCACTAATGAAGCGTAGTGTAAAGTGTTACAGGATCAGGTTAATAACACGAGCACACATTCCCAGATGTGGACGGAGAGCGGACGTTCCTCGGATCGCAGGTGTGTGTTCTCCTCGACGCCCCGTCGCTGTACACCTGCGTCTCGGTGAGACTCCCGTAATCTTCCATCCAGATCCCGGTGTTCCGACCCGTGTCCTGAGCAGTGTTCTCCGCCCAGCGCACCAGCGAGTTCATGAGCACACCTGTCCTTACAGGGATCGTTCACCCGAAAATGAAAGTTAGGCCATGATTTACTCTCCCTTAACCCATCCTCTTCTGTCAGGCAAACAGAGTTATATTAAACATGTCCTGGCTCTTCCAAGCTTGCGCTCTTAAGTAGACTGTGTTTGGCCAGAAGCTACAATTTAACTTTGTAACGTGTTAAATATGGATATTTTACTCACACAAACGCATGGCTTCGCTTCAGAAGGCCTTTATTAACCCTGGAGCCCTTCATGATGGACAGATGCACTTTTATGATGGATTGATGCACTTTTATGGACTTCAAAACAGAAACGGTCATTCACTGCCATTATAAAGCTTGGAAGAGCCAGGACATTTTTTAATATAACTCTGATTGTGTTCGTCTGAAAGAAGAGTGTCACACACACCTAGGATGACTTCAGTGTGAGTAAATCATGGGCTAATTTTCATTTGTGGGTGAACTAACCCTTTAATGTGTGTCTGTTTCTCCATCGTCCTCTTCCTCAGAGCTGGAGTCTTCATCGTTGTAAAAGTGCAGCGTGGCCTGAGCGGGGAAGCTGGCCAGAACCGTCCGGCCCAGATGAGACAGATACTCCTGGATCCGGGATCTGGGCAGGAACAGCCTGTGGATGGACGAATCCGTCAGAAACACAAACACAGACTCCTCCTCCTGGTGAATAACTGATATCTGAAAACTCTGAGAGCTAATAAACATGTAGTGAAGAGTAAGAGCTTTGGTTCCAGACCTCACGGGATGATGGAAAACTCCTTTAGACGCCGGAACGCGCCTCGAGCCTCCAGGAACCCCCTGAACACAAGAATACAAGAACACAAGAACACCTGAACTAAAAAAAAACCTGAACAACACCTGAACTCAAAAAAACCCTGAACAACACCTGAACTCAAGAACCCTATTGAACACAAGAACCCCCTGAACACAAGATCCCCCTGAACACAAGAACCCCCTGAACACAAGAACCCCCTGAACACAAGAACCCCCTGAACACAAGAACCCCCTGAACACAAGAACCCCCTGAACACAAGAACCCCCTGAACACAAGATCCCCTGAACACAAGAACCCCTGAACACAAGAACCCCCTGAACACAAGAACCCCCTAAACACAAGAACACCTGAACACAAGAACACCTGAACACAAGAACCCCCTGAACACAAGATCCCCCTGAACACAAGAACACCTGAACACAAGATCCCCCTGAACACAAGAACCCCCTGAACACAAGAACACCTGAACACAAGATCCCCCTGAACACAAGAACACCTGAACACAAGAACCCCCTGAACACAAGAACACCTGAACACAAGAACGCCCTGAACACAAGAACCCCCTGAACACAAGAACACATGAACACAAGAACGCCCTGAACACAAGAACCCCCTGAACACAAGAACCCCCTGAACACAAGAACCCCCTGAACACAAGATCCCCCTGAACACAAGAACCCCCTGAACACAAGAACCCCCTGAACACAAGAACCCCCTGAACACAAGAACACCTGAACACAAGAACCCCCTGAACACAAGAACACCTGAACACAAGAACCCCCTGAACACAAGAACCCCCTGAACACAAGAACCCCCTGAACCCCCTGAACACATGAACACAAGAACCCCCTGAACCCCCTGAAGACATGAACACAAGAACCCCCTGAACTCAAAAAAACCCGGAACACAAGAACATCTGAACACAAGAACATCTGAACACAACTCCTGAACACAAGAACCCCCTGAACACAAGAACCCCCTGAACAAAAGAACCCCCTGAACACAAGAACCCCCTGAACACAAGAACCCCCTGAACACAAGAACCCCCTGAACACAAGAACCCCCTGAACACAAGAACCCCCTGAACACAAGAACCTCCTGAACACAAGAACCCCCTGAACACAAGAACACCTGTCCTGAACACAAGAACACCTGAACACAAGAACCCCCTGAACACAAGAACACCTGAACACAAGAACCCCTGAACACAAGAACACCTGAACACAAGAACACCTGAACACAAGAACCCCCTGAACACAAGAACCCCCTGAACACAAGAACCCCCTGAACACAAGAACCCCCTGAACACAAGAAAACCTGAACCCCCTGAACACATGAACACAATAACATCTGAAGACATGAACACAAGAACCCCCTGAATTTAAAAAAAACCTGAACACAAGAACATCTGAACACAACTCCTGAACACAAGAACCCCCTGAACACAAGAACCCCCTGAACACAAGAACAGCTGAACACAAGAACATCTGAAGACATGAACACAAGAACCCCCTGAACTAAAAAAAAACCTGAACACAAGAACATCTGAACACAACTCCTGAACACAAGAACCTCCTGAACACAAGAACCCCCTGAACACAAGAACCTCCTGAACACAAGAACCCCTGAACACAAGAACACCTGAACACAAAACACCTGAACACAAAACACCTGAACACAAAACACCTGAACACAAAACACCTGAACACAAAACACCTGAACACAAAACACCTGAACACAAAACACCTGAACACAAGAACACCAGAACACAAGAACACCTGAACACAAGAACACCTGAACACAAGAACCCCTGAACACAAGAACACCTGAACACAAAACACCTGAACACAAGAACCCCTGAACACAAGAACACCTGAACACAAAACACCTGAACACAAGAACCCCTGAACACAAGAACCCCTGAACACAAGAACACCTGAACACAAGAACACCTGAACACAAGAACCCCTGAACACCTGAACACAAGAACCCCCTGAACACAAAACCCCTGAACACAAGAACACCTGAACACAAAACGCCTGAACACAAGAACCTGAACACAAAACACCTGAACACAAGAACACCTGAACACCTGAACACAAAACACCTGAACACAAAACACCTGAACACCTGAAAACAAAACACCTGAACACCTGAACCCCTGAACACAAGAGCCCCTGAACACAAGAACACCTGAACACAAGAACACCTGAACACAAAACACCTGAACACCTGAATGCAATAACACAAGAACACAAGAACACCTGAACACCTGAACACAAAACACCTGAACCCCTGAACACAAAACACCTGAACACCTGAACACAAGAACCCCTGAACACAAGAACCCCTGAACACAAGAACCCCTGAACACAAGAACCCCTGAACACAAGAACCCCTGAACACCTGAACACAAGAACCCCTGAACACCTGAACACAAGAACCCCTGAACACAAGAACCCCTCTGAACACAAGAAAACCTGAACCCCCTGAACACATGAACACAATAACATCTGAAGACATGAACACAAGAACACCTGAACACAAAACACCTGAACACAAGAACACCTGAACACAAGAACACCTGAACACAAGAACCCCTGAACACAAGAACCCCTGAACACAAGAACACCTGAACACAAGAACACCTGAACACAAGAACCCCTGAACACAAGAACCCCCTGAACACAAGAACCCCTGAACACAAAACCCCTGAACACAAGAACACCTGAACACAAAACACCTGAACACAAAACACCTGAACACAAGAACACCTGAACACAAAACACCTGAACACAAAACACCTGAACACAAGAACACCTGAACACAAAACACCTGAACACCTGAAAACAAAACACCTGAACACCTGAACCCCTGAACACAAGAACTCCTGAACACTAGAACCCCTGAACACAAGAACACCTGAACACCTGAACACAAGAACCCCGGAACACAAGAACCCCTGAACACAAGAACCCCTGAACACAAGAACCCCTGAACACAAGAACCCCTGAACACAAGAACCCCTGAACACCTGAACACAAGAACCCCTGAACACAAGAACCCCTGAACACAAGAACCCCTAAACACAAGAACCCCTGAACACAAGAACCCCTGAACACAAGAACCCCTGAACACAAGAACCCCTGAACACAAGAACCCCTGAACACAAGAACACAAGAACCCCTGAACACCTGAACACCTGAACACAAGAACCCCTGAACACCTGCACACAAGAACCCCTGAACACCTGAACACAAGAACCCCTGAACACAAGAACCCCTAAACACAAGAACCCCTGAACACAAGAACCCCTGAACACAAGAACCCCCTGAACACAAGAACCCCCTGAACACAAGAACCCCTGAACACAAGAACACAAGAACCCCTGAACACCTGAACACCTGAACACAAGAACCCCTGAACACCTGCACACAAGAACCCCTGAACACAAGAACCCCTGAACACAAGAACCCCCTGAACACAAGAACCCCTGAACACAAGAACCCCTAAACACAAGAACCCCTGAACACAAGAACCCCCTGAACACAAGAACCCCCTGAACACAAGAACCCCCTGAACACAAGAACCCCCTGAACACAAGAACCCCCTGAACACAAGAACCCCCTGAACACAAGAACACCTGAACACAAGAACCCCCTGAACACAAGAACCCCCTGAACACAAGAACCCCCTGAACACAAGAACCCCTAAACACAAGAACCCCTGAACACAAGAACCCCTGAACACAAGAACCCCCTGAACACAAGAACCCCCTGAACACAAGAACCCCTGAACACAAGAACCCCCTGAACACAAGAACCCCTGAACACCTGAACACAAGAACCCCTGAACACCTGCACACAAGAACCCCTGAACACCTGAACACAAGAACCCCTGAACACAAGAACCCCCTGAACACAAGAACCCCTGAACACAAGAACCCCTAAACACAAGAACCCCTGAACACAAGAACCCCTGAACACAAGAACCCCTGAACACAAGAACCCCTGAACACAAGAACCCCTAAACACAAGAACCCCTGAACACA